GCTGTTTATGTTTTGAGCCTCCGCTCATGTTTTTTGATCTTCCTGAAACTTTTGAAAGGCCATAGTCTACAGACTTCTTATGGCGGTGGTTGGTCCGGTTGGTTTCTCCTGTCACTCCTTTCATTATGAATATTCTGCCGTTTATAACTATGATCAACTAGTTTCTTTGCTCTTGACCTTTTGGAAGGTGTCAGTGAGTGTCTATTGGGCATCTATCAACTCAGCATTCTTCTTCCCTATACCATAGCCCACAGCATCATCTTTTTTGTATTGATCTTATGAAATTTGAATGGTCAGAGAAACCAAAATGTGTTTTTTATCAGCTGTAACCCCTAATCAGGAAAAATAAACAGTTGCTCCACCAGTACTTAAGCTTTAAATCATGAGCTCTATTTATTTGAATTCGTATGCTAAAATAAAGCAAACCTTTTGATGCTGTTTTAAAGTATATTAAGATGCACCTGATCTCATTTGCTTTTGTAGCATATTAGGCAAATTCATTTAAGTGACCTTTCCACCAGCTCTATGAACGTGAGAGACCTAATTCAACAAAAGCCTCCTGATAAAACATACTTGGCCTAATTTGCAGAGTTACTTTAAATATTATTTGCCTTTTACTAAAAGCTTAGCTACTATTAACCCTGCATTGTTTATACTTTTTGCCATAAGAATTATTGGAGGTCAATATTATCAACATATTTGATTCCTTTTCTCTAAAAATGTTTTCTAGAGAATTAAGATTATGATTTTTAGAGTATTTAGTGATTAAAATTGAATGTAAAACTAAGGAAATTACATTTTTTTTATAGATTAGTGGAAAGCTGATTACTGACACCGTTTTTAAGTGAAAAGAAGGAAATCAGACACAGAAGCTGTACCTCACAGGTCTATACACACCCTTCTAAACTGCCTAATGTTTGAGATAAAATCTGATATTTATACTGTATGATTCAACTGAAAAAACAATCAAGCAACAAACCTTAGTTTAAGGGCGTGCATGAATGCAAACAGGCCTAAGCTAATAGTTTGCTGAATCAACCTTTACTTCAGTTTTTGTGTTTAGTCGCTGTGCTAGGAATCCATCATCAAGCCACATCCTGTCTTGACAATATTTGCCCATTTTCCTCTCATAAAGTCACACTTGTTTCACTCTGGATGTGTGCTTGAACTCGCGGCGATGAGGAAAAACAGAATCCCTCTTCATTTTTCCTCTACAGAGGCCTTAAACTTCAGATCTGCAACCCAGTTACTATTATGCATTCTTTACATCAGCAAGCCTGCATCTATAACAGGGCTGTATACACGGTTTAGTGGTCATGTAGACATTATTTGGGGGAAGAATCCAATTTCTTTGAGACAAAGAAGCCCAAAAGTAAAAGGTTTCAAAACTTTCAATGTTAAGAGAATACGGATAATGTTAGGAATTCAGTACGATTTCCAAGAATAGATTAAGAATATTGCACGTTGGTTGACTTTATGCCAGAAACATCAAACGGTTAGGAACGATTAAATTATACTTTTTAAGTCTTAACAGTTTGTGTGATTCCATTTCTTTAAGGTTAAAAAAAGCTGTCACACCTGCTTATCCATCACTTTTAAAATAGGTGTGTGATCACCTGTATCACTGGCCCTGCAATTGTTTCAGAGATGAAGAGCCCCCTGGTGGTGGCTTGGACCATAGCTCCAGCTGCTAAAAGGCTGAAACATAGTTACTACAACAGACTGATGCAGAAGCTGAGAGCAGAAAATGAGAAATAGTGCAGATTTGATGCACTGTATTTATTTACCGAAATATACTAAATCATCCCATATCTAAAAGAGTATTAATCTGCACCCCAGCTTCAGCCTAGTTTCAGCTATCAGCAGATCTCTTATCTTCTTACTGGACTGAGGAGCCCAAAGATCAGATCAGACAAAACGTGTCCCACAGGTTATCTCATATAGTTCTGCTATCAGTTTTGTATTAACGGGTCACAAAGTTTTGTTTTTATAGAGTCTTTGGTTCAAAAAATCTCTTTACTACCATGAAATGAAGCACCCTGGACGGGGATGCATTAGCCAGAAAGCTGCTGTCTGTATACAGAATGCCTGCACAGGATGTAATGCCAGAAAAATGCAGGCGATTCTGCAGAGTCATAGTTTGTCCTGATGTGTGAGCGCTTCCCATATGTTTGATGAGCTTCTCTACAGGATTAGACCTGTCACTCAGAGAAGAGATACCCACATGACGACATACTGCTTCACAAATCCCTGATTGGGTCAAGAACAGCCGGGAAGGCCTGAGATTCAGTGATAGAATCATTAAAATAGATCCAGATTTTGGTGGATTCTGGAGTTTTATAACAGAATTTAGATCGGCTGATGACTCCCGGTACAAATTCCAGATGAGTCAAGAATGACCAAAAAGTAACTAACAAGAACTGGTAACGAATGTAGGAGCCATTAGAACCCATCTCCTCATGTAAGAATTTTTAATACCTCGCGGTTTGTTGAACTGAAAAAACAGCTCACACCTTTTGCAAATATAATAAATAGTTTGCAGGGAGGGGGCTTTGAATTTGTCGTTCTAAATGGGGAAAAGTAGTACTTATATTTTTCCCCTGGAGAGTAGTAATTAGATTTGGTAGAAAGCTGCATAGGCATTGATATAAGCCTGTCAGTTGGAAGTGATTCTGACAGGTCATTTACATCAAGAGACATGACAGTAACATACTGCTGAATGGGAATATCCAGTAACCAACCTGCTGTGTAGAAATCGCTGAGATTCTACTAAGAATTGTTCATCCATCTCTTTAAAAGCGACTGTTTTTTATTATTTTTTAATTTATCTTTTTAAATATTGCTGACCCTTGTAAAAAAGATTGGAATGTTAGTTTCAGTTTCTCAGTAGGGTGGTAGCTCCTGACCTGAAATGAAACTGACAGTCCTATTTTTTTCTGTTTTTATCAAGCATATAACTAAAGATTGCATCTATTTTATTGATGCCTCTCCTTTATTTCAGCTTAGCAGGGAAAAGCTAAACGTTGAAAGCTGGAGAAGCTTCTCTACATGAGAATCTGTTTTCCATATAGAAGACATTTCAGAAAATAGGGAGGAACGTGGAGTAACTGCAAACAGAACAAGGAACGCATCTGTTTGCTTGGAAGAAAGCCTATTTATACTGGTGCTTTATCTGCTACAACACAGACTATAACAGATAAGGTTTTACAAGATGTTCCAGCTTCTTTCCTGTGGTTTCAGCGTAACAATGACGACACTGGTTGAAATAAACATGGAATGGTTGTTCTGTGTGGTGGAGGTGGGGATTACTTGGTCACTGTTATTTATCCCCCCCTTCCCCTTTTCCTCTCACGTACAGCTGCCATATAGCTGCTTAGCTCCCCTCCCCCATCCATCCGTCCGCTCGCTCTCCGCTGTATGTCCTTAGAACGGGCTTCAAGTAGAGCAGGCTCCTCCCCTGGCAGCAGCAGCTAGTGGTTTTATCCCAGGTCATGTTAGGGAAGTGGGCCATGCTGGAGAGATGCTGCACAGATCTCTACTGTAGATACATTAGATCACTGCAGCCGCCGTAGCTGCAAATAAAAGCATTGCTTTCAGTCAGAAAAATAGAGATTATAGCAGTTATGTTGCAATTTCTACTGCTAAACCTATGCATTCATGGATTAAAATATTGGGTGAATTTTTAATGTCTGTACTGTAGGGCTTAGATTTGATTTGATACCGTTCGATAGCACATCTGTTCATACCAGCTTTTGATTACTAGTGTTTTGTGATGCAGTGGTCTGTTTGAGTTTGATCTTAAGCTGATCAAAACTGTCTTCAGATTATTGGATCATTTGATAATTTGGCTTATAGATGGAAGTTTATTCAATATTTTTTTTGTAACACATTGTTTTGTCATGTTTGGAATAATGTTCTTTTAAACCTTGTCACCAGCTGATCCTCTTTCCTCTTTTTTTGTGGGTGTGGGATCAGTTTTAAGAAGGAAGAAATCTGAGATTTTCATTTAATTTCTCTGTTATCCTATGTGGGCTTTAAGTCTTTAAATCAGCCTTTGTAGGAGGGGAAAGTAGTAGTTTGTAAGTTTACTTCTGATCTAAACACATTCCCTGTTTTTGTTGTTTAAATCTTCTCAGCAATAAGCATCAGCCACGGTTACCCATATAACAGCTGCTGCCCTTCATAGATGGGAGTGGCTTTGTTTTGGAATGATTGACATCTTTAAAGTTTCTATTTTTTATTTTATTTTGAAAGAAAATAAAGGAATAGTAGGAGAACTGATTGCATTTCCATTCATGTTTTACAATAACAAGGCTCTGATTTATATTTAGGAGCTCTGGGAAAGTTTAGAAAAATGTTAAGACTCTATTACATTGGAGATAAACCTGATTGTACACAGAGCAGCACTGATGTATGACACGATTATTTTGCTATTTTATTTGAATGTGTTGCACCACCGACTCAGCTATAAACCTATTTATTTATCCACGTAGTCTAGTTGGTTTTTAGTTGTCGGATCAGCTATGATCAAGCCGAAAATTTGGATGATTTCATGTTAGGATGCTTTTCAAAGAGAAGTAAATCACGTTATTATTCTTCATAGATAGTTTAGATCCCATTTTAACCATTGCAACTATTTTATAAAGCTACTTTTATATAGTGTAGGGCTCTATTACTGTCTAAATGGCCTTATTAAGCTGTTACAGATGAGTGGGGTTGTAATCTAGTTATTCAACCATCTGAGGTCTGTGCATCCTCTCACTGCACACTCTGGGCTGTGGTCTTGTGCACAACCACAGCAGGCTTCAGCGGTTGCAGGCCTTCCCCGCTGCGCACACGCAAGGGACAGTTCTTCACCTTGAGTGCTTAATTTCTACTCCTCAGCAGGAGGGCGGAGTAATCACCTGTCAAATCCTGGCCCTGCTGTTCCTGCCATGCATACCTCTGTCTGATCCTATCATGGTTAGCTGGCTAACTGCTCTGCTTTTTGTGCTGCGCAGGTACCCCGGCACCCTGGCCCTGCTTACACAACTCACGACATCACAAAGGGACACCCCAACTTGGCGGGAACGCCGCCTGGTCATGCCCACTCCCCAGCGCTCTCTCAGGTATCAGTACCCACAGCTTCCCAATATCGCTACCCTAAGGGCTGGGAGGCAGGCGGAGGGGTGAGTTTTTCAATGTGGCCGCCGTCATCCTCTCTGCATCTCTGTCAGTCTTTTCATTCCTTCTTTTCTCTGTCGGGTATAAAGGGTCGTCTGACAGGTTGATAGGGTGATTATCTAAGAAAAATGAACCCTATCCTGTCTGGGTAGGATGGAATTTGATTTAAGGAATTTTGGCTAAGAAATGTGTATCACTCCTCATGTCATAGTTTGAAAAACTGCGGCAATAGGTCTTCAAACCCTTCCCAGTGTGTGTATTTAAACAGTTCATATTCGAAGATTCACAAAAGGCAGCAATGGGTCATGAATTCACCTTTTTAGAGAGAAAAATTGAATTTCTATGTATTTTCCACACTATAAGGCCCACTGTCGTTTTTTAAAAAAAATGAAAGGTTTTAAAGTGCTCCTTATAGTGCAGAAAATACCTTACAATTTTTTCATAACTGAAGTCGTAGGGAAGTCCTATTTAATTTCAAATCATTCTGGCTTAAACGTATATAAATGTAATCTTTATCAGACTATATTGTCCCAAAAGTTAGAACATTTCTATTTTTAAAATAATCCTGTCTTAAAATCTGTTTCGTTTTTTTTGTTGTTATTTTATGCAGGCCAGTTAGTGATACATCAGACTGAACACCTAAATTCAGCCAATCAAGTATCAACGGTCATCTGTCAATCAAATTTTTTTCTGTCATAGTATCTTGATTCATATGTCGCAGCTAATATATGCAACGGTGGAAATAAGAAATAAGAATCATTTACTTTCCTTTTGAGTTCCGTCCCAGTGTTCACGGGGATGGACGTCTGTGTCTTCTGCAGGCGTAGAGCTAACAGAACTGGCAGCGTTGCGAGGCAAGGGCTCAAACATGTACGGCTGTAAGCCTTCTACACCAAACCAAGCTTCTGCCGCCCTGGCACCCTCTTCCACAAATACTTCATCCCCGCTTTCCTCCTCTAAATAGAAAGTGGATGACAGAGGAGACTCATCCAGAACCTCCGACACTAAACTCTTGCATGTTTCCTCTGTCCATAGCGTTCCTTGACAGTGTCTTTTCTAAGTCACCAATTTAGTGCTACTTGGTCCCAATGTTTCCCATTGGGAACCTACTAGCACTAAGTTGCTAACTGGTTAGCAAGAATCTTCAGAGAAACCGGATTGCTAACCTTCCGCCACAACAATCCCGCCCCCTTGATAATCGTGTAAAGTCGTCACCACTCAGTAGAATTCAGAACTGCAACCGTTTGAACAGCCGCTTCCCTACGACTTTAAGTCTAAGAGATTCCTTTTTTTAAATGTGTAGGAAGCCTGATATCAATAAACCTCTTTATTTTTCTGACTTGTTGAAGTTAAAAGTAAAAGCGGTGTTAGTGTAAATGTTTCAAAGTCGCTCTAAAGATGAGTCTACTTCATCACGGCGTACAGTTGCTGGATATTTTTGTTGAATTATTTTTCATGTTTTTTCCTGCTTTTTTTAAATTTTTTTTATCTCTTATTGTTTTTCTTTTCCAGCTTAGAATCATGTGCATGACCGCACTGACTTAATGTAACTGTATCCAATCATAACAAGATCAAAGTCTACAGCAGCTCTCAGGCATGCTGTGCTCTCCAGTAATGTGAGAACTGAACATGTCTGCATGTTCAGCCTTCAACTAAACATGACAGCGGCTTGAACCTTTTGCGACGCTCAAACACATCTGAACCGAGGGACACTGACAGACAGAAGCACAGCCGTTAGTAACGGGTGATATCAGATGTTAAATAACATAAGTAACATGACATAACAAAAACATTTCCTTTCAGCAAGAAGTTCAGTTCTATCTGATCCTTCCACTGCAGTTCTGACGCTGCTGTACTTTAAGTTATTTTGTAAATTGGATAGATTGTGTCTTCAGTGGAAGGAAATCAAATGTCTTCTGAAAGTTAATCCTGATGAGTCACAATCCAGTCTGACACCTAAAATTAGATAACCCTGTAACAAGCGTAACATCAGCAACCTCTTCTTTTTCCGCAAGGTTCTGATGTTTCAAAGGAAACAATGGCCCTTGTGACAGCGCGTGTCATCGATGGAAAAAAATGACACGCATGCGCCGTTCTTCTCATTACAGATTATCTCTGAGGTGGATTTTCTATCCAGCTGCTTTTTGGGTAGAGGTTACATGTATAGCTGCATCTCAGTATGTTGATAGTACATAATAACTATCATTCAAAGGTTTATTTAAGGAATTCTGTTCAAAAAGTGAAACTTATACAATCAAGAATATTTAAACAAAGTCTGATATATTAGTTTTGCAGAAATTTGAATGTGTAAAATTCAGTGTCAGAAAAGGAATGCATTCTAAAAGGCCATTAAGAAATAATTTGATTGTATTCTACTTTATAGCCTGTACTAGCATGGAAACATGCTGACTTAACACGGTCATTGACACCCTCCATAAGGAGGTTAAGGCACAAAAGGTCATTGCTCTAAAGCTGACTGTTCAGACGTCTGTATCCCAGCATATCAAAAAGTGAGTGGAAGGAAAATCTGCGGTAGGCAAATGTGCACAAACGACAGAGCAAGTGGGGAGGCAGTTACTTGAGATCCAGTGTGACATTTCCACAGTGATGACTTAGGGAAGACTTGTCATTCATTGTCATTAGTTGCCCGTGTTTTATCAAGTATAAAATCTGCATAATCAGAACATTTCTGCTGACAAGCTTCATGGAAATACTGGCTTCATTTCCAGCAGGATGTGGTACCTGCTGACAAAGCCATAAGCCATTTCAGTTTTTTATAAAATATTTGTTTTTATTCGTTTCATGATAAAACTAGGTTGTCTGGGCCAAAAAACATAATTAGATGTAAGCCTAGTAATTTTTATAACAGTAACGTACGTTTTAGCCCTATTACTGTGTGATGAATCGACACAAATTTCACTTTTTATATTAGTGAATTCACATATCAACGAAAACATTCATAGGTTTGTTTTCAATGAGATGTGATTGGAGAATATGTAGTTTTATAGGCCCTGTATAGTTCTGGGGGGAAATACCTTTTTTTTATTATTGCAAAAAAAGAACATACAAGAACACTTTAGAACATTATTAATTACAAACAGATACAATATCAAAGGGCTTTATAAAACAGAGCAATTTTACAATGTAAAAATCAAATCTGTGCTCGAGGGTTGCAAATCTTTAAGGGCAGTTATGATTTTAATAGCTTCAGCATTTGAACTGAATTCTAAGGATTCTATATAGATATTAATAGAAGATAGTAAAATCTGGAAATTAGGTTTTTGTTGTAAATATTTAGAGGTGTGTATATGATATTTACCATAAATAATAAAAAAAATTAACAACATATAAGAATTCTGTTTTGACATGTTCACATTTCTTCATCCCAAACAAAACATCCTTATCTATTAAAGTAATATTGAGATTTCTTTTAGGGGGGAAATGCCTGTAATTGGGATGTATGATAAAATACTCTCTGCTCTCACCCTCCATTGAGGCGTTGGTACCAGGTTATTGTTTTACAATAACCAACGAACAAGGTTAGGCCAATAATCCCAAAGACAGAAACACAGTCAGTGATGTCGTCGTTCCGCTGCCACCTGAGGTGCAGCCGTCATCCTGACACAGTGACTCAGCATCTCTGTTGGTGTGTGACTCTGCTTGTGAGGAATCCAGTTGTTTGTCTTAACCATCTCTGCCCCCCCGCTCTGCTTCACCCTAAAGCAGCTGATGTCTCTCAGCAGCATTCTATAAATAGTTGGGTCAGCTAAAACCAACTACAATTATCATAACACAGCAGCAGCAGCTTAAAGAATCGCAGATCTGTCTAAACCCTCCTGTGCCGCATCAGATGAAGAATAAAGCAACACAGGATTTGGAGTCCTTCTGGGTACCAATTATCTTTGCTGAGTACATAAGCCTCTGAAAACCACTTTTCCCACCAGAAACCACCAGTTGTATTGTTGTAGTTTTTAACGCCTGTATGTTTTAAAATGTCATCATTGATCAATTTTTTTTGTTTGTTCTTTTTAGTCTGTATTAAACTGCCGCCTGCTTGTTTCTGTTTTCTTCTTTTGACAGTCACCGTATAACACCGGGCAAAACGCTGTCTCCACTTCCTTAGTGTATTCTCACCAAACACAGCCAATGAATGCACAGCCACAGAGTCGCCCGGTGAGTTTTCCCATTTCCTGCCGACTCGGCTCAGTTTAAGCTCTGTTCTGACTGTATTAGAAGACGGCCATCTCTACAAAAAGGGAGGAATAAAAACCTTGAGCCTAGAAACCACTGAGAGATCGAATGTTAGCTTGATCAAACTTTGAAGTTACACAAAGTTGTTTTAATTTAGTGAAGCTGTTTTATTTCCTAATGAGCAATTTGTGATCCTTGTTATCGCTGATAGCACACAGGAAATTAGTTTTTGCTGGTATCGTTTTCTTATCATTCAACTAACTGTTACGTGGCTCAGCTCCAATGCACATTATTTGATTAAAACACCAATCGTCAACTAGATTAAGCAATTTATGAAGTGTGACAAACTAAACCGTAGCTCCTCCCACCTTAGCTATATCGATAGGTTTGTCAGTATCACTTTCTGTTTTCCCATAGTCGGGCGCATTCTGCATGTTCTGTTTCTACATCCCTACTGCTCGATGTTGCATTTAAAACAGTTTGATGTAAAGAAATGTTTTCAGTTATTTGAAGGTGAGAAAAAAATGGAGCTATGGTGCATTGTCCGCGTTGACAGCGTTGTGCGTGCCTCCAGGATGCGCAAACACCCGAGGAATTAATTCGCTCAATTGTATGGGAGCATTAAGAAATAAAAGCTTCAGCAACTGACCGATGATTCTTTCACAAAAGTTAGACGTATAACGTCACTGAAAACTCCAGGGAAAGGTTATAACTGGAAAAAAAAAGCTTTTTCCCTGATGAGAACATCTGGTTCTCTCGCTTTGGAGGCGTTTCTGGTCAGAATAAAAACTGTGCTTTTGCTGCTGTAACACTTGATCACTTCCAAGTGAATTATTACAATTCAGAGTTCAAATAGTCTGTAACGTTTACAGCTAGATAACGGCCCACAGAAACCTGCCCTGGTCCCTGCAGTTCAACCATGCATGCAGCAGATAAATAAGCTAGAAATTGGCCAGTTTCACAGTTTAACAGGGAAATTTAGAAGTTCATTGTTTCAGAATGGCTAAATTGTGTGGTTTACAGTTTCAATGACACCCCAGAGACGGTGCTGGGTTTCCTGTGGTCTTACTAAACCCAACACCCCTGAACTGTCCCGCAAACTCAGCTTTATTTAAAGATTTCCCCAAATGCTTCCCTTCACTTAAACAAACACAAAAACTTGTTCAGTCTGCTTTGTCTCACTATCAAAGTTAATAACATCAACATTGCAAATGACTATTTGAATGCTAGGTTTTATGGCAATCGTTTTTTTTTTGTTGTTTTTTTTTTAAATGCACCCATTGTCTATTTATAATATTTTCTCCCTGCTGGATGGATTCTGATACTAGTATAAGCTCTCATCTGACAGGATGATTTAGCAGCTGAAGATCAATGCCTCGATAAATAACATCAACTTTCCTTTAAAAAGAATTCAACCTTTGTGGTGTTTGTACTTTTTTTTTTTGGTCATTTTCAGAAAAATTGTGCTTTACTGACTTAAATAACCATTTTATTAATGAAGACCTATTTCAGCCTTGAATTACATTGTTTTGCGTGAAATGCTAAACAATTTTAACTCTGCGGCACAATACGGTACTTTTGTTCTTATGCAGTTATGTGCTAAAAAAAAAAATTTAATGTATTAAATGCATCAAGAATTTGCAACATATAGTTGACGTTAATTCAACATCAGCAACCCGATCAAGGTATAATTTAATTTTCTCCAAGTCTCATAACTCATCAGACCATGATGTACCAACGCTTGCTTCATAATAATCTATTCTGTCTTGTATTTAGAAGAGGTTGAATTTAAAAGAATTAAGTTATTTAATATGTTTTATGCTCTGGATCTTCAAAGCTTTGCTCTGTGGTATTTATTTTATGGTATTTCCAAGCCTGTGCCTCCATCGCTCATCCTAAACTGTATCTGTGTCTCCTCTGCTCTCTGTTCTCCCCGCTTTGCCATCACTGCTTCGCTCTCCTTGCTGGACCTCTCCTCCCTCCCCCACCAGTTTGCTACGGGCCCTCGACCAACCCACCATCAGGTAATTTACCCCCGCTGAATCCCTCTCCTGCATCCCTCTTTTGCATCATCATCATCAAAGCAGTTTTTTTTTGGTCCCTTCTGGCAAAAGGCCTTTTGTTTAGGGGTCTACTGTTGCTTTAAAGAAACACAGATTTAAAATGTTTTAAGTACTTTGGAAACGGATGAAGAGGTTTCTAAATAATCCATGATGATTAATTTTAGCTAGTTCGGGTGTTTGTTTTTCCTTTTAAACTTAGTGTAGCTCTCTCCAACTGCAGATCATGATGGGAGTGTTCACCTGCATCCTAATTGCTCCTTATGTATATATTATCCTGCCCTCATTACATCAGCTTTATATTGCTTTGGGTTTTGTGCTCCCAGAGATCAATAATACTGCAATGAGTTACCATTTGGAGATTTGGGATTTCAGTGCAGTTCTTTTTTTCTTTTTTTTTTCAATAATACCTTAAGGAAATCCAGGATATTTTATATTGATATCAGTTCTAGATGAGGCTGTCTATTTGGAAAGATTCATGATTCACTTTTCTTTCTATATTTGTTCGGTATTGAATTATTCCATATTAATAACCTCTCTCTGAGGTCTTTTGCTAATTCTGACCGATATCTGTAGAGGAGCTGTTCTTGCTGTTCAGAAACAGCTAAAAATGCACAAAAACCAAAGCCTACCTTCAGTGAGACTTGGCTGGACCCCTGGGTCCCGGTCCACAGTACTATGCCAAAATTAACCAATACCAAAAAGATTCCCCTGCTCCTAAATGTTTGTATCTTTAAGATTAACCAAGATTTGTAGCTTCCTTAAAAAAGACCCCAAAATGCCCCCTGAGAGAATAAAAAAACAAAACATGTTGTGAGAAAAGATCATTTTAGGATATATTTGGCCACAAGGCTGTTAAAGGTATAGAGGACGATCTTTTATTTCCGGCTGGATCATCTAAAGAAGTGGGATTGACAATTAGATAATTGCCAATCATTCTGGTGATGTTCATGTACGGCCGTCCTACATGCTCGTCCCGTTAGCTATAATTTTCTGCGCATGCACACTTTCAGTCATTTATCTGTAGTGAGCTACGGTTTTAGACTGTCATTGAAGTAACAGCAACTTTTAAACAGAGCGTGCAGGAGCCTATTTCTCCTCCTGCACGCACATGCGTTTTTCAAGTGGAGAGGGTGGGTCTTTTAAAAAATTCATGAAAATCCTGCACAATACTTTCAGGCTTTAAGCGAAAAAAAAAACCTTTACCAGATCTCAGGCACTGAGGTGTTAGATTCATGATATAAGACTGTGTTGCTGCCCTCACCATAACCAAAGCTATTAAAATATTGCTTGTATTTAAATCAATTTTTGCTATATTTAATTAAGTTTATTAAGTCCATGAACTAAGGGAATTAAGCATTGATTTTGACCCCGTTTGCCTTAAAAAAATATTTTATAATCAATATAAACTTTCAAAATCCAAAAAAGGTCTAAAATGATGATTTTCCGTAGGGGATGAACATAGACTCGTGACTCTAATCCTTTTGGATCACTATAAGTTTTATCTCGATCCAGCTGGATGTATTGCTTTTACATGGATCTAATGCAAAGACAGGACGCTGTAAAATGTTGCTTAACCCGTCTGACAATCCTCTGACCTCTCACCTGGAAACAGAAAAGGGAACGCTGATAGTTTGGTGTCTGCGTTTTAAAACCAGTTGAGCTTGTGGTGAAGCCCTCATGAGGCTGTGGTCTCATTGGTTTCTAGGATTTAAACCAGTGTTAACATTGACCCTGTTGTCTATGGCTCTTTGGTAATAGGATGTTTGTAGACAGACATAAACAGAAATTCAGATTATGATGCCAAATTGATTAAAGAATCTTTGTTTTCCTCTAATTGTTTTTAAATAAATCACTGCAGTTAGGTAGGGAACATTTTGCAGCACAGAATGTAGTGTTTGTCTTTATCGGCGCTTGTCTGTGCCTCTGGCTGACGTTTTTAAAAGAAACTGAACGGTTGACATGTGCAGAAGCAACATCGGGGATTGTGAAGGGTGAATTAATGTGGTTGTCAGGCAGGTCAGTGTTTATGATGCTGTTTGTGTGTTACCTTTATGATGGAAGGAGTCTTAAACCTGCCTCGGTGTTGACATGTTTTTATGTGGCTTTGAGTCCGCTGTGTAGATTTACACAGCTGATTGCCATGAGATTGATGAGTTCATTCATAACTCTCTGAACAAACAGCCCCGACCCAACTTAATCTATAAAGCACTTTATATTAAGAAAAAAATAAATAAAACAAATGCTGACCAAAGTTAGAACGAAAGGGAGGAATAATCAAAATAAATATAAATATTAAAATGAAAGAAAATATAACTTAAATCTAGTGCCATAAAATACAACATTGAGAAGAAGAAAATTAAAACAAACATGGTGCCTGAAACCTCTCTGTGTTTGGACTCTAGTTAAACTCACTATTAACAGTATGGTGTCAAAGTGTGATGGGTGTGTTCCCTGGCCGTGGTGTGTACACACACAGACGAGTGCGTGCTCTGGCTGTCACAGACCAGCTCTAAGATTTCTTGTGCCGCCACGGAAGTGGAATTGGAAAGCAGATGAAGCCGAACACTGGTTCTTTATGCTCGCAGAGAAAACAGCTATTGTTCTCCTGAAATGCTCTCGATGCACAGAATAGGAAGCATTAAGATGAGCAAATTGATTCAGGATAAAATAATCTAGATGTCCTTTTGATTTGAGCTTTCCTTTGTTTGTTTGTTAGTCTTTATTAAGGAAGAAGATCCAACCCCGAAAGTAATTTAATCACCGAAACAGTTCTCCTCGGTTTTCCATAAACGGATGTATTATGATAAGATGTTCTATAAAAACTGCTGCTGAACCCTGAAGGTCACAATGATATCATGTTCTTCAGAAGATTTCCTATGTTTAAGGACTCAGTCAGCTGTAGGTTTGTGACCATTTGCTTATATAGCCCTTATGCTGGCTGATGGATTTCCTCGCTCACAGATTAGGACCTTATTGACATGCAGCACACTGTTTTACTGAAACATCTTGGCTCAGCTGAGCTGAAGCGTTCCCTTGCTTGTGCATGCCATCAGCCTCCCCATCTTGTATTCTCTCAATGAACCATTCATTCGCCCCTATCTGCTCGGTGAGAGATGCATTAGGATACGCATTCAGTCCTCACTATTAAAAGTTAAGGTTTGCAGATGGGAAACTCAAGCATTTCTTGATTGATACCAAAGTTTAAGTTGAGTCAACAGATTTGCTGCCAGTTAGTTAAAAGCGTTGCAGTAGAATTTGCAGCCTGTGGGGATTTCCCTCCAATTTCAGGAAGAAAATGGATCATTTAAGTTAAAAGGTTTTTGCAAAGAGAGTGTAAATGTGTGTATATGGCCTTTTTTTGGCCCCTATGTTTTCAGACCCCCGGACTTTTCCTGTTCATGGATCCATTGCAACCATTTCCTAAAGCCCAAACTTTTCCCTAGCTTTGACTTTAACCTCCAGCTTAAACACGAAATAATATAATAAGTTTTTATTTTATAAGTTTATTATTTTGTTTGTAATAGAGCTCAGGACATAAGGCTCAAGTAAATAAGGCATTCAAAAACTAGGGAGGGATTTTGGACTGTGGTGTTAAGTAGGTGTTTGATCTCAAGTGGATCTGCAGTTTACCAATCCAAACATGGATGACCTCTCAACAAATTTAGTTATGGGTGCACCATGAAAGAGTCGACAGCAGCAACCACAGTTTATCCAGCTAAAAGGCTGGAAAGTTAAAATCACCTTATGGATTTCATCTTTGAAGTCCTTTAATAACCGCTGGTTTGTTTGCAGAGGCCGGCCATGAGAACTGTTGCTTAAATCCACTTTATTTCATTCGTTTTTAATTGACGTAACTGTGAAATGCTGTAGCTACTCCTGCTGCCTCAGAAACAAATGGGAAACTATTGTCTTGTGCTGGAAATAAATTAAAGTGGGATACTTAGCAGACAATTCCTGGGGTTTAAATTAATGATCAAAGCACTTACAGGGGAATATTATTGGGTGGTAAGGTTAATCTTCTCCATTTTGACTTTATAGGGCTTTTGCTTATGGATCAATGAATTAAACACTTCTTAAATGAGGAAATCAGTCGGCTTTGCACAAATAATTACACATAGTATGAGAAATATAAACCATCTCGGTTAAATGATGGATTATGGACCATCTCGTTTAAATGATGGACCCACAAGTAAAGGCTGTTAAATCACACCTCATATTTCTGAAGTGGAGTTTAGGTTTGCCCAGTGACGTCTCTTCAAATGACATTTGTTGTGGATTAATATTAAATAAACCAAATTCAGTTCCATTAATGAGGCGACGTCTGCAGATCAGGCAGTCTGAGGTCTTTTTCAGTCTATATTAAGCTGCTTCTTATAGTTGTTCATGGATATTAAACAGGTGAGTCAACACATTGTGATCCTCATATTTTAAGTAAAGAGAGTTTGAATCTGTGACCAATTTATTTATGTGGTGATAAATCTTTCTACACATTAATGCCTCCGGCTTTGTCCAGGTTTTCTACTCTGATTAAATGCGAGTTAAAGTGGTTTATGACCAGTTTCTCTGTCAAGTGGAAGAAGATGATTAGCTTTCTGTTTGTTTGTGCGTGGATATTTACATCTCACCAGTTTATCCTTCCACTGGCTTTTCTTTCCTTACTGCTTTCAAAACCCAAGGGAGGATTCAGGCCCATCCAGGTAACACTGCTTTCCCTCAGCAGAGATGCATGGCATGAAGGGGATCATCCCGAAATGATCCTGTCCCCCTAACTTTGAATTCTCTCCACCCCCCACCCGCCATCTTTAATGCAGTAAACAGAGAATGGAGGTTTTTAATCGTTTAATTGCAGTATTTCCTGTCCTTATTAGGGGACATCTTTAGTTTCCTTCGTTACTCATCTTTATTGATCTTGTTTAATGAAATGAATTGCATGTCTAATATAAACAAATATATCAAATTTTACTTTTTTTTTACTTTCAGTATTAGTTTCTCAAGTGTGTTGCACTGAACAGTGTTCGTTTATTACAAAGCCTCTTTTAGTGTAAGCTTTATTGTAGTTGTTTTTTTTTTTTTTTGTCTTTCCTCCTATTCGTTGCTTTGTCCGCTGTTTCAGGGAATTTCACTGAAAATATCCCCAGGTCCCTTTTCTTCAACCGTTTCCTGTTCATTTCCTCACTACTATTTACCATAAAACCACTCAGGCTAGTATATTACTTGAAAGGTGATTTCCCTCCTGAGTATTTTTAGATCATTTTAATGCCTTGATTATCCACGCCTACTTCTCTTGTTGGACATGGAGACTGCGGCTGCATGTTCCCAGTTTGAGGCAGTGATTTAAAGATTTCACTTGTTGCCTTTTTTTTTTCTTCTTTCTTTTAAAGTCATGCATAGCATCAATTGTGCTTTGCTCACATCATCCAATGTTAGACAAGGTATAGAGCGTCATTCTGTACAGAAGATATTCTCACAGCTTTTGTAATGATTTGTTTTCTGATTCATGGGACGCAGAGCTTTGCCATATTCTGAACGACAGAAAAAAAGAGGTCCAGGTGACATGCAGCTGCCTTTAAATGTGTTACAGCTGTGCATTCTGATGAGAGTTTAGTTTTTGGTAGATTTTGATAAATATTATTTATTTTTATTATTAATATCAGACATTTAGAATAGATTTAAACAAAAAAACACAGTTATTGGTTCTTTACACCAAAGGTAAAGTGGATCCCATTCTATGGATGTTTGGGTAAAAATGATCCATAGTTGTTCCACTGTTATGAATGGAAACTGTCAGGTAATATTAAATTGTTCCAAATAATTATTTTCAGGCCAAAGGTTAATTTAAGATGCTCTAATGTGACAATGCATGTTTTAAAATGTCATTCTGCATTTCATTTATCACTATGTATTTAAAAAAACAAACAATAAAAATAAAAGAAAATTGTTTGAGTTCCCTAGGCTGCTGAGAAATTGTGCAAAAATAAAAACAAAACTGCAGGGAAACTTCCTTATGTGTCTTGTTTCTTTTTTTTTGTCTTTCTCATATTACCCTCAGTTTTTTCCAAGAACTCAGATGCAAACTGCGAGGGCCTCAATGCCGACAAACGCACCCTCCATACGTCCCGGCTCGCAGACTCCTGCGGCGGCTGTCTACCCCACCAATCAGCCAATCATGATGGCCATGGCCCCCATGCCTTTCCCATCCCCACAGGCTGCACAGTACTACATCCCACAGGTGAGGCTGAAACACAATATGGCGTTTTCTGCTTAGCTCAGCAGAGCGGGCAATCAGGGTTGCTAATGATATAACTGTTGAGGCCATTTATAGAACTCATCCATCGAGCTTAATGCCTTAGATTTTTTTTTATATGTAGGAATTTGTGTTTGATTTGCTTCAGTCTGCACAGGTGCACCAGTCTGTGTCTGTAAATCTAGGTTTGAATGCTCTGTAACCTTTGCAGTTTACCTCAGAAAGTGATTCATAATCATCTGAGGAAATGACGCACAGCTGCAAGGACATAAACAACAACATTTAAAAGATCTGAATACATTTTTATACAAACTGTAAGATCCACCTGGATTGATTAATCCTCAAATTTCTTAATTAGATGTCCTTGAATCGTTAGTCTTGATTACTTCAGCTAAAAGGAATGTTTGTAGTAACAGATTGGTCCTATTTTCTCCCTCCAGTACCGCCCTAGTACGCCCTATGTGGGACCGCCACAGCAGTATTCGGTCCAGCCTCCAGGCTCTGGCACCTTCTATCCTGGTCCAGGACCAGGGGAATACTCCAACCCATACCGTGAGTCTCTCACCTGTCAGAATTTATACACCGACCTCCAATCAGAACCGCCTGACAGCATGAATAGAGTCAGGAACCGGATCTGTTTTAACTGAAATGTTTTCTTTTCTCTTGAACTCCTTCAGATCCCCTCAGGTACCACCCTCCTGTGTCCCCCTCTGTCCCTGCACCCGTTCAAACAGCTGGCCCGACCTTCTACCCTGGGCAGACACTGTTCCCCCACTCGCCCTCCATCATAGTGCCTACACAACAGCAACCTCAGCAGGCCAGGCGTGAGAAGAAAACAGTAAGTGTCTTAGTAGTTCTCTTTGTTTTGCTAGCTGGCATTTTTGAGTCGCATCTATATGTGTTGATAATGACAGCAGGGCTTTGATGTAGACGTAAATATTGAAGAAATCATCGCAGTCTTAGAAAAAGGTTCCTTGAGACAACCAGATGTTAGCCAAAAAAATGACTCAATGTTTGTTGCATTAAAGACTCTCTTCACAGCCGCTGATCAATGTGCACTTTGGCCTTCGACTCTGGGGCTTTAAAGAGATCCCTATTGTTATTATTTTTTATTTTTTTTTTCATTTTCCTCTTAGATCTGTATCCGTGACCCGAATCAGGGTGGCAAGGATATCACAGCAGAGATCTTGGCTGGGGGCTCAGGGAGCAGGAACTCAACGCCTCCTGTCGGTCCTTCCTCCACCCCAACAACACCTCCACAGGTATGGCTCTGTAGCCCAATGCTAGGCCTACAGCAGGGCTCTGTGAGGGAGGAATTATTTTCAGGCATGTGTGAAGCAGGCAGGAGGTTCTGTTCATGTTTGTAATTTACTATAAGTCAAAACTTGATCAAAAACTAAGTTAGCTCCTTGGAGCTTTTTTTTTTTTTTTTTTTTTTATAAACATGGCTGACATCAAATTGTAGCTTCCACCCCCAAGAAAAAAAGCTGTAATCCAACCCAAAGGTTTCCAATCCCTCAAATTCTTGTAAATTTCTAACAAGTTTCAAACATAACATCTTATCTCTTTATTGGGAACACAATGTGGCGCCTGATTTTAAAGTGGAAGGAAACGTTCCCAGCTCTTTACAATAACAAAATGGAGGTGGTCATCTGTATCTGGGCTTTTATGCCCCATTTACACTACCCCATCTAAAACCAACCTGTACCAACTTCACACCGAGACTTGATAACTCAACCATGGTGAGCTTGGTTCTTACAACCATTTACGCAAAACGCTAGCACGTTTTCTCACCTCCTATCGGCGGACTCATTGGTTAGCTAAAGGAAATCATCAGAAGCAAGCAGGTGTTCTTCAAACTGCAAACACCAAATGTCTGCCATGCTACGATTTTGGATTCAGAAAAAGATGTTGAAATGTTTGAAAGGTCGGACACAGGCGAGAGCGTATCGGGAGACGGAGACCAACAAGACCTCCCTCATCCTTGGCCCTATCTCAAAGAATTTTTCAAAAGAGTCAAAAAATTGAGCTTTTAGTTCATATAGTGGCACCTGGCTGTTTTTTTTTTTTTTAAAGGTCACTTTATACTTTTATACTTAGTACTACTTAAGTAGTTTTTGGAGCACATACTTTTTCACTTTTACCTGAGTAAAAGAGGTCAAATTGATACTACCAACTTTTACCAGAGTGTTTTTAAACTGCAGTATCTATACTTCTACCTAAGTAACAAATGTGTGAACTTTTGACACCACTGAAACTGAATACGCCAGAAAGCCACAACTGAAGCGTTCCGAGCCCTACTGTTGAACTAGTACTAGATTTAGCGCAGTTCGGTTGTGTCTGGCACAGTTCGGTTCAGTTGTGTTCCATTTACACTCAGCAGTTATCTCGGTTACAGCTTTCAGAACGGTTTCAAAAGGTAGGCTAGCGTAAATGGGGCTTTAGACTCCTTTCCTTGAAAGCGTTCACCGGGCGTAGCATACACGTTTATATGTGTGGTTGAGAAGGCCTGGGCCTTGTTAACTAGTTAACATCTCTTTTCATTTTACACCTGATTTCTTCCCATCTGCGGTTCTTTCCATCCACTGCCTTCTACCGTAGATGCATACCATCTGCTAACTCCTACAGATCCGTTAAGGTGGCCTGTTTTTTTTTTTTTTATTATTTGCAATGTCGTTTTGTACAAACTGTACTATAATATACCAGCCGATGTTGATTTGGATTTCTGGTTTGGATTTTGAAGAAAACCTTTCAGTCCCTCTTTGGATCAGAACATTTAATGTATTCACTTGTTTTCTGCTTTTTCTTTGTCCTAAGCTTAGATATTTTCCTCTCACAATAATCCTTATCCTAACGTTCCTTTCATTTCGTTTTCCACCTCTGTCTTCTTTTCAATTGTGTACTTGTTTGTTTTTTCAATTACCTTAATTTCCATGCTGCTACTTCCTGGTTTTCTGTGTTGCTTATTTTTATGGCTGCACCCTCATTATCCTCACATTGTCTACTTCCAATCGCAGCACCCAAGCAGCAGCCAGACTCCGGAGCAGCAGCATTCGCAGCCCTCTCCTCCTGCTCAGCAGCAACAGGCCCATCCTGGAAGTGTTACACCGGAGCCGCAGCAGATACAACAGCAGCCGCTAACAATTGGGGCTCCAGACAGCAAACCAGGACCAGGTCTGCATTAAACTCATTATCAACTTCACGCTGCAACATGTTCAAGTAGGGTCAGACATGTTCGTTTCAACAATTCAGTGTTTTCAATTTGATACAACATCCAAATATTTGGTCAACATTTTACCAGCTGCTTTATGGTTTATATCTGAGGACTGTTCAGTGTTAAAAAAAAAACGTGTTTTTATTTTTTTTTTTGTCTTTTTGTTTGTGGATGCATTGATGTAACCTGCACTTTTTCCTGTTTCTCTACCTCTTTCAGTTGATTTGCCAAAATTGGAGCCAGTGGTCCAGCAGTCTTCCTCTCCTGCTCTCTTGCAGCCTGAAGCTCCCTTAGAGAGAATGGAGGCCGCTAGTTCTGGGCCTGAGCCCCCTGCCTCTGTGGAGTTAGAGCTTCCCTTCCGCGACGCTATCGTTTCCCCCCCTACAGTAGCTAACTCTGCTCCCTCGGCCAGGGAGTCCGCTGCTTCAGCCCCCTCCTCTGTCGGAGAGAACAAATCGTCCCTGGTAGCACCTCACATGCCCAGCACAGACAAACCGCTTCCAGACGCCCCGCAGACTTTCGGCGCTTCTCCGTCAGCTTCTCCTAAGGCTTTGAATGGCCTCACCGATTCGGGGAACGAGCTCGAAGTCGTAGCTCAAGAGTCGCCGCTCCTTCCCCAGGCGGCGCTGCACCCGCTGGTTGCTGCTTCCGTTTACAGAGACGCCTCATCCTCGGAAGCCGTGCCCTCTGACGTGAGGCCAGATGTGCCAATCGCTGCTGTGCTGTCCCCTTTGTCACCTGTTGCCGTGGTGCCTGTCACCCTTACCTCGAGCCCCCTCCCAGCTCTGTCAGTTATGCTCCCCCCTGGCCTTCCGCCTCTTGTGCAGGCCACAGCAGAGGCAGATGAGCCCAACAAGACCTTAGATATAAAAGACCTCATGTCCAGAGGAGGGATGGAGGCGCAGGGTGGCATTAACGAGAGCAAAGTGGAGCCTCAGCTACAAGCGCTGGCCAGGAGGAGCCCCACAGCAGGTATGTAGTGCTTAGGAGACGCATGCAGCTCTTTTACAGATTACATCAAATAAACTTTGAAACCAAAGATATTCTGAGTTAATAAAAAAACAGTTTAAAATGAGTTGTTGGGATAAAAGCTATTAAACCAACCCTTGTGCTATGTGAAAATAAAATATGATAAAATAAATGATTTGCTGTAGTTATATCAGCCAGACCCGTAGAGTCAGCCGACAGATTGCGTTTAACCTTCGTAATAACATAAAGGAACAAACGGGCTACAGTTAAGATCTAAAAAAACAACACATCACAAAGGAAAAGAATTAAAGGGCAGATGCTTGTGGAGTTAAGCGATGATTGGTGAGTCATTATCCACAGTGGTGAACTTTCCTTGTAGTGACCAGGTGACTGGTGACTCATTCAGGAACTTCCAATGGAGTCTAGAAAAACTTAAAGCAGAGGAGCCCTCACTCACCGCAATTAGGATCAGGTTTGATATGTCAACAATAAAGGCTGGTTTCTGCTCAGAACGCAGATATGCTTCCCCTCACAGACACTCTGCTGCACCTCTCCAAAATTGTAGGTGACTGCAGACAGGAGGCCTCTGATTGACAAATGACAAATCTATATCCGCTCTACACTATGGATATTTCCTGTTTGGAAGCTAGTATGACCTTCATTGTGGAAAACGACTGTTGAAGTCAGACCAGCTAGAAGAGCGAGGTGCACGAGAACGATGGGACCCTTTTTCCACCTGGATCCCCGCTCATGTCTCTCTTTGTCGTACAAACTTGCCTCTTGCGTTTTTTCCACTTCCTCACCGCCTCGGCCGTATCTAGACCCACTCCTAGGTGGTGATTGTCCTTCTTGCTTTGTGGCGTGGAATAACATAGCACAGACCACGCATAAATCAAACATATCTGTGACAAGCTCACTGCGACGCACTGCTGCGGGAGTATAAACAGCCCATAAGAATGACTGTCGTAAAAAAAAAACTTTTGAACCTTTTTACATTTTACCCCAGAAACATCTGAATTGGGGTGTCAAAAGTGTTAACACCCAAATGCTACAATACTAATTTGTATTACCGGTATATTGTTCCACATTAGAAGATTGACACCAAATTATGTTATGTTGGGGTTATTTATTTTGCAATTATTTTCATACTTCTGTTGAGAATGTTGTACCAAACACAGTATTTTCCTGGGTAGTGATATCATGTTTAATATTTTAGTACTGTTACAATTTTACCTCTTAATAATCCCAAAGAAGGGGGAAAAAAGAATTCTAAGTTGGCAAAAGGTGAAGATTTTGGAAAAAGTTTTTTCTTCTGGCTTAAATCTAATGCAGCATTTCAGAAATGGAGCACTATAGCAACATCGGAGCATGGTGGTGGTAGTGTGATGCTCTGGTGTCTGCAACATTTGATAACAGCTTTGGTCTTTAAGGAGGATGTTCAACCATCCCTTTGATTATAAGCTTAACTCTTGAATCAAACATCTGTTTACTTATTAGGATTTATTTTCCTCTGAATTTTAGGAATAATTTGATTAGTTGTTTGAATGATTATTTAATTGTGAATTATTTGTTTCCTTGCAGTGAATCAGACGTCTGCTATACCAAAGACCTGGAGAAAACCAAATGAAACGTTCAGTGCTGGAGACGCGCATCAAAAGGAGGATGAGGTCAGGAAAGAAAAAAAGTCGTTTGTGAAGAAATGTGGGAGAAAGGAGAGAAAATGATTTGGGCAGTAGTTAAAGAGGAAGACATTTCCACGTGTGGGGGGGCGGGGGCAGACTGAAATTATTTTCCTCCACAAAAATCCACCAGTTGGTTATGGCTTATCTTTAACCATCCTGTGTTTGCCTGCTTTTGTTTGTGCTTTTTTGATGGGTGCAGTTCAAGGACTCTGTCATGAAAAGATGGCCGACAAACAAGTGGCCTCAGGCTGGTTGTTTTAGAATTTATGCAAAGGGTTTATGAGTGAAAATCCTCCAAACCAAACCTTTTGTTTTCCTGTCAGTCTTGGTTAGCGGGTAAAATCCTTCCACCCCAGAGTGACCTCAGACCTTTTGAGAATTCATGTTTAAAGTGATCGTAAAGAACGCAGGATTAACAGTTCTCGTTCATTTTCAGTTTGCAAAAAAATTGATTTAAACATGATGAAACTTGACTAAGAACCATAACAGTTTCTGTTTTGATTTAATGCTGCTGTTGTCAGAAGTTCAGTAGAAAAGAGAGGTGCCATCTTTCCAGAGAAAACTGTATCTGTTTTCTATGTACAGGAGGAGCCCAAAGTTCTCGACTCGCCTGCAAGTGAGCAGGCCCTTCAGTCGGCCCCTCTCAGCAGCAGTCCTGGCCCCCTGCCGACAGTCTTCCCCTCTGCTGCTGCTGCCCCGACACCTGCTCCCACCGTTAGCCCCGACGCTGACGGAAAGCCCACCGTTTCTGAGGAAAACGGCGAGGCAGAGTCAGAGCCCCTGAGAAACGGAGCGGGCCACACGTCGGAGACGGAGAGCAGCGACAGCGGAGCCACCCCTGGAGACAAGGAGATCTCCACGGAGGCCCCTCAGGATGTCGAAGGTAAGAGCAGATGATCAAGTTACAGCAAAATGTCTGAGGTCTCCAAGTCAGAAGAGGATTAGCGAGATGTTATTTATCAAATGCATTTACTAAATGTGGAGAATGAGATTTTGGTTCTTTGTGTAGTTTGTTGGTGACTTTTTAGAGACTTTCTTTCTTCTAATCCCTGTTTGGTTTTCAGACCTTGCTGAGCTGAGTGGGAAGCGGCAGTATGGCAGAGACTTCCTGTTGAACTTCCAGTTCATGCCTCAGTGCATACAGAAACCTGAGGGGCTCCCCCCAATCAGTGATGTAGTGCTGGACAAGGTTAGTTAAAGACCAGTAATCAGTGGGTCCACTTTCATGTTGACATGCTTTTCAAAGCGTGTTTTCTAAAGCACAAGATTAATCATTTCAAATTACTTTGGAAAAAAGCCTCCTGAGCTAAAATAAAAAAATTAGATGTTTCAGTTTCTTTATGTCCAATTTTAGATACACCCAAATTGGAACATCTTATCATTATTAGTTTTAGTTGCTTTAGAGGATATTTTTTAGTGCTGTTGGAATAAAACCCAAAAAATGACTTTTTTCACATCCAGAAATCTCCATCCCAGTCCTGCTTTCCCAGCTGTTTAACATGATCTGTAATTTCCACACAGTTCTTCTTTTCATCTGATTCTCTCTGCTAAGTAAGATCGCCCATGTCAGAGGGAGATTCATGTTGTAACAGGAGCTCTTGCGGCTGGTTAATCACCAGCTGTCAGCTACAGTAATAATAAGCTAATTAAGTCTTCAGTTAGGAATCACTGCTCATTCGTTCGAATGTGAGTATCTGAAATTTACTGTTCGTTAATCAGAATTATAGGTTATTAGATGGAGAAAAGATGACTTGTAAAACTTCCTGCTGGGACTTCTTGGAAATAAACACATCTAAAGATGAAGCAATAAAGCTATTTAGTTAGATGAAACAAATTCATTATGAGCATGATCATTGCTGCTGATTCTGCTTTGGGCAATCTACCCAATTAAAGTGATTTCTTTTTCTGCTGCCTCACTGTAACGCTCTGCATGGGAATGGTTTTAGTTTGTCTGAACGTCAGGATCTGTCCAGCAGGGTGGTTTGCTGCTCAGATCCACTTATATGTACGAGTGCAGCATATGGCCTGCTGAAATGCTGTTTTGATTAAAATCACATTGCTATTATGTCACCCTTGGCAGCGTTTGGTGTACATGCTCCTCCCCCTCTTTCTTCGAAAAGGATGGTGAACAGTTGATTGGTGCCGTCCCAAAGTTTCTTTTTTCTCACAGGGAGAAAGTTGAATTTCTCTGGAAAAAGCTTTGAGAGGAAGTCTAGGAGAGCTCAACGACAAAGAGCCTGATTTGCTCTCCCTTTGTTTCACATTCTGACCACATCTGGTTCTAAAGTTCTGGTTGATGGTGAAGATTTTCAGTCATCCAGATCATAGGGATTCCAAAAAAAGTAAAAAAAAAAAAAACAATTCACTTGACTTTGTTTCCAAGTTTGAAGACATTTGGATGGGACGACATTTTTATTTTATTTTAAAGTTCTGGTTGTTTCTCAATAGAAGTCGAGGTTATTTCAACATCATTTTTTTTTTTTTGGTGGTGGTGGTGGGGGGGGGTTTCCTCTAAATCAAACCCTGAAGCTCTGATCGACCGGTCATTAATCACAGGTCAGCATAAGAGTGGAGAAATGCTCCACTCATAGGACAGGCTTCTGCTGCTGGGTTTGATAGAGGATCACTGCGCCCCCTGCTGTTCATCCCAGTCTTTGTGTGTTCACATGTGACAGTATATATGCTTTGTTTTGTGCAGATGAACCAAAACAAGTTGTCATCCCGGGTGGTGGACTCCAGGGTGATTTCTAGGGGACCTGATTTCACGCCTGCATTTGCAGATTTTGGGCGACAGATGAGTGGAGGACGGGGAGCAGCTGTGAGTCACACACAAACCCGACACACCAAACAACATCCCAGATTCATTCATAAAGTCACACACATCCCAACTGGGGAAAAAAACATGTTTTCTATTTTGTTTTTTGGTCAATTGTGCATTAAACTCCAGACAAATGGTTATTTCAGCCCTGATGGTCTTAGGAGCAAATTTGAAATTACATATGTGAATTAAAGCAAGTACAGCTCCCAAACAGTAAATTGGAAATACAATTGTTTGAATGTGTGTGACAGAAAGGCATTGAGGAATATTTTTTTGTTTGTTTTTGGTGGAACCACTATTTTAATGTCACCATGTCTGATTTATAGGTCATTATACAAAGAAAAAATGAATTTATTTAACTTATTTTCCAAAATGAACACTTAAAAACACCATGAAACCCCATTTGAAACTCTGGATGAACCCCCAAAGTTTATAGATCCATATCTTGACCATAACAAGCAAATTTGGACTGAATAAACTGAAGCATGTTTGTTCCACAAAGGTTTCAGTGAGCGGTGTGTTAGGCGGAAATGTCATTTTAGCAAATTGGTCCTAAATGTGGCCAAATTGTGCTAAATGCATTTCTACACTCATAAAAGGCAATCTGGCCAAACAAATATGCCGATTTACATTATTTTAGACCTTCTGCATACGACAAAGCCTTTTCTCCTAAGATTTAGCTGCTGTTTCATTGAAACTTAGCATTGAACACAATAACATCACCAAACTGAATAGAAAAGAAAAGAATAACAGAGCAAGCTTATGTAACACATGCTGGACCAGCGATGGTCGCACAATTACCTCTGACCCCTAAAAATGAATACCTGCTGTTCCATTACTCCTTACAGAGTCGCACATGTTAGGTGGAATTTAAAATCTCCTTTTATTTGTTTACAAAGCTATAAAAACTAAAGGTGTTTGTGAAAAAATAATTTTGAAACATGTTTTAGAAAATTTAAAGCCACATTTGAAAGGCTTGTGGATGGAACACCATGTGACTGTGTTTTGGCCGTTTCTATGAATAGATAAACATCAGCTGGTGTGAGCTGGGCCCGGTTCTGGGCTCGCCGGGCTCAAGGGCTTAAATTGAGCAGCTGTATCTGGTGTGAGTTTATATGTTTAATACTTGTTAGTAAGGTTTTCATGATGGTCTAATATAGCTGCCACCTCCACCTTTGTGTGGATTGCTGCTTTGTTTACAGTAATTCTCAGTAGTTTTTGTAGCATCACCTACAAGCAGAGAGGAAAACGGATCTCCTGTGTTTCCTTCTGTCTGCTTCCATAGCTTATGAACCTGGGGACACGACGGCCTCCGCCCAGGAAGATCATCGTAAACGTGTCCGTTAACGATGACATTCAGCTGAAGAAGTCGGAGAACGCCTGGAAGCCCGGCATGAAGAGGGAGGGCCAACCAGAGGATCCAGAGACTCAGAAAACTCAGGCAGGGAACAAAGCGACACAGACTGAGCTTATCTATGGTAGTGTTTAGATTTAATCTTAGCTTTGGGGTGTTTTTTTTTTTCTTCTGTTGCTGCAGGAGCTCTTCAGGAAGGTCCGCAGCATCCTGAACAAGCTGACGCCACAGAAGTTCAACCAGCTGATGCAGCAGGTGACGGATCTGACCATTGACACAGAGGAGAGGCTCAAAGGGGTCATCGACCTGGTTTTTGAGAAAGCCATCGATGAGCCCAGCTTCTCTGTGGCTTATGGACAAATGTGTCGGTTCCTTGCAAAGGTAAGCAGCTCTAACACCGATATAAAAGGGTGCGGTAAAAGAAAAAAATCTAAGAAAGATGATTAATGTGAATATGCACATCTGATTTCCTACTAGGCTATTATATTGGGTGATTTTCCTTTTCTCACTCTCGTTATTTGTTGTTTTGCAGCTCAAGGTGCAGATGACAGATAAACCTCAGACCTTTGTAAATTTCCGCGCTCTGCTGCTACACCGCTGCCAGAAGGAGTTTGAGAAAGACAAGGCAGACGACGTGGTGTTTGAGAGGAAGCAGAAAGAGCTGGACTCTGCTGCATCGGTTTGTTGTCTTCGTTTTTTTAGTACTTTGGTTACAGCTGCAGGAGCAAATGTTCAATGTCTTCCTATTGGCATCAGGCTGCAGAGCGTGACCGGCTTCAGGAGGAGCTGGAGGAAGCCAAGGACAAGGCCAGGCGGCGCTCCATTGGCAACATCAAGTTCATTGGTGAGCTCTTCAAGCTCAAAATGTTGACTGAAGCCATCATGCACGACTGTGTGGTCAAGCTGCTGAAGAACCATGACCAGGAGTCCTTGGAGTGCCTGTGCAGGCTGCTTACCACCATTGGAAAGGATCTGGACTTTGAGAAGGCCAAGGTGAGCTTGAGCAGGCTTTAACATGTTCACCGAGGGTTAAATGTGCTTACACAATGCTCACCTTTCCTGTGCATGTGCACAACGTGGCGGTCATTTAAGCATGTCGCCATACTCTGAACTGGTGCTGTGCTACTTTAAATCGGCTCAGTGAAAGAGCTAGAGTCTGCAGCGATATGGTGTTACATGGTGGAGGTTTGATGGCTCCGTTTAACAGATTTAGTTAGAAACCAAAAGGGAGTAACAAGCCCGGTGCTGTCCCAAGGTAACTTGGAGTTCTTGTAAACATGTCTGCCAATTCTGCTGGACATAAAGTCTAAAAAAATGTGTTCTGTATGTGTGAACATAAGCGCGGTGTGTCGGCTTTTATTTTGATTTAGGATTTGTTTAGCCTTAAACAGCTAGACTGTATTCTGCCACCTATAATCTATTTGCCATCTAAACAAATGTTTCCCTTTATAGAAAGTCTTTTTATTTATTTATTTTTTTTTTACGGTAAAGGACATTATCTGCCTTCACTGTTGCTATTTTCACTGTTAACAAGGTGAACATGTTTCTGCTAAAAGCCTTCTTTCCTTCAAGTTTCATAATAAAAAAGGTCAATGAAATACATTCATTTCAAAAAGCAGCTTTTAGTTCAATCATCTCCTTCTGAAGGTGGACTTAATTTAAAGGGCAACAAAATTTAAACTGTGAAAATGCTTGTTAAATTTATCAGCTTTAGGTAAATCACAAAGTGATGAGATGAAGCCATTCTGAGCTATGGAAGCCCAAGGAGTGCACTGGTTGGGGACTAGTTTGATCGGCCTCACAATGCTCATCTAACAGGAAGGCTGTGGTTCTTCCCCAGACCCTTAAACCTGATAACGGATCGATCTGTCCTTTAAAAAAAAGGACATTATCTTCTGGCAACAGCTTCCAAATCAAGCAGAAGTTGATTTCAAACCATGTTTTTTCTCTTTCCTCTGCAGCCTCGCATGGATCAGTATTTCAACCAAATGGAAAAAATTGTTAAGGAGCGGAAGACATCATCTAGGATACGATTTATGCTCCAGGATGTTATAGACCTCAGACTGGTAAGCTGTGTTTTCTGATAATTGGTCATTCAGATTTTATAGTGCTTTTCTTACAGAGGTTTGTTTGATTGTTTCTGCCATGTTGGCTGTACTGTACCGTCAACCTCAGTTTAACATTTCAACTCTTTCTACAAATACTGCTACAAGTATATTAACTGATCTCCTAAACTAGACTATACTAAAGACGATAAAGAGGGACAGTGACGTAGAGAACTTTCTCATACCAGCTAAAATGTACTCACTGTTTAAAACAAGCCATTTTTATTATCGATACAACTGAAAAACATAATTAGTTGCTGAAGGGAACGCTCTGAGCGGTGGAGCAATAACTGCATAACAAAATAAGAAATCATGACCTGCACAAATATCACAGGATTTTCTATGTCCATTCAATATAAACAAGCATTAGGTGCATCCTGTAGGGAGCCACTTGTATCTTTGATGAGGGTAAAATGAACAGCTTGGATTGTAAGAAGCATTTCTTTTACAAATGTACACAAAACTATGTCAATATTCTTCTAATTTTGAAAATTCTAATTTTCACAATTGCAGTATTTCCAATAAATAAGAAATAGAATCAAAGCGATAACTCTTAAAAACATAACATGGCAGCGCTGGATGTAAACGTATGATATATCCATATTTTATCCTTGGTTCTGCTGCTCATCGTCGTGAACTAAAAACTTTAAAAACATACTTGTCTTCTCATGAATCCAACTACTTCAGTTCTTTGTTTTTTTTGTTTTGTTTTTTTTTTAGTTGCAGAGCATGTGACTCGTGTGGTTAATAAAAATGGTTCCATTGCGTTTTGTGAAATAGTCATTTCAACCTGACAGGGAAAAAAATAAGTCTTCGTAGCATAAAGTTTTTTAATACAAAATTGTGTTTTTCGAAATTGCAGTAATTCCATTCTGCACATTTATTTTCGTAATTACAATAATCAGAAAGAGTGGAAAGAATAGTTAGATCAGCCAGAATTAGTTTCTTTAAAAGCTTTTATGTTTTATAAGCAAATAAATAACCAGTTTAGGGACGTTTAACTTTTTACAAAACATCAGGAAACGTGAAACTTTTGGATAAGATTGGTTGTCAGTCATTTAGGTTTAGATGATAAGAAAGGAAGATTCCTCTTTGGGCTGCCATTCAAAAGATTTATATTATGACATCAGTTAGGATTAGCTGTTTATCTGGTTTTAAATCCAAGTGTTGTGCTCCTTACATTACAGCACAACTGGGTGTCCAGGAGAGCCGACCAGGGTCCAAAGACCATCGAGCAGATCCACAAGGAGGCAAAGATTGAAGAGCAGGAAGAGCAGCGAAAGGTGCACCAGCAGCTGCTCTCCAAGGACAGCAAGAGACGGCCAGGTGAGTGCTGGAATCCTCTTTAAGGCTTAGAGTGGGACATCCACACAGCTAGTGACTGCTGTCCTGCAAGGCAGGCAGGCAGGCTTCTGCTCCGCACAGCCTGCAGAGATCCCATTGTGCACAGCAGCAGACAGGAAGCCCCCCGCTCATTCCCATCTGTCAGCAGACTTTGAATATTTCATCGTTTGTTACAGAAACAGTGGAAAATGTCTTCCCATCAGTTAAAAGGCTTTAAGACATTTCCCTTGGATAAAATGTTAAATATCACTGAGTCGTTTCATTCATTTATAAACGTTCTTCTCCCTGTCTGTGCTGGATCCGTTCCGTGACGTAGATCCAAGAGAGCAGAGGGAGTCACGCAAAGAGGAAACCTGGAACACGGTGCCCATGACGAAGAACAGCAGGACCATCGACCCCAATAAGATCCCAAAGATCTCCAAGGTGAGTTGTGGGGCTGAGCCACATGGTGAATTTGGAGGGAAGCAAACAAGATGCATATTTTTGAAATGATGCATCTGACAGCAGACTCCCTCTTCACACAGTCCCATCATTTGAAGCTGCTGTAGATAGTGTGGCAAACATTGGACTATAGATGTTCAGGCAGTAAAAAAATAAATAAATTCCCAAACACCAACTTTTCCCCTCCAGCTCTATGGGAGGCAGTAACATGCTTAGAGGGGGTTTAGTAATATACAGAAAGAAGGAGAGAGATCCAGCTAACGCACAGATCAATGCATGTAGGATAAAACAAGCATATTTTTATGCAACAATAAAGTCCTATGATGATGGACTCTGGACAAAAGAGCATTTAAGGCCATAAAAACATTGAACGCATGAAGCCAAACATATATAGAGTTGCTGTTACACTGGAAAAAAATCAAAATCTACATAAATCCATTTTTTCTTAAAATAAGTGCATTTGTTCTTGGATTGAGGAAGTAAAAGAGACATTTCGCCAATAGAACAAGACTTTACACTTAAAATAAGACAACACAATTGTGTTGTCTTATTTTAAGATCATATTATCTAATTATCTTATATTGAGAGTAAAAAAAACTAATTCCATTGGCAAATCATCTCATTTACCTACTCAAATTAAGGGCAAATACACTTAATTTAAGAAATTTTTACTTATTTCTAGATCGTTTTTCCAGTGTAGTGATGAAGAAAAAAAATCTAAATAAAATCCAAATTGGGTGACAAAATAAAAAAAATAAAACTCCCCAGAGTTTGTGTGGCTCAGATTATTAATGATGTTGATGCTGGTTCTGATGCAAAGCTGTCTGAATACACAGTGCTTGGCAGTTCTACTGTGGCCATTAACAGTCAGGGTCCTGATAAATCCTATTATTCTGCCTGAATGATTCAAATCATCAATGAGTTATAATCTTGAAGTAAAATTTGGCTTTAGATTAAAAAATATATATATATTTTTTTGCAGTCAAAGAATCCTCTTTAATCGATGTAATGGAAGCACTATAGCTTTATGATTTTTAGGAGTGATTTTTTTTACCCTGGGAAAGCAAACCGTAGTTTCTCTTTATTACTGGAAAGAAAAGTTCACTCATCTATCAAAGTTCAACATGTTTCCCCCAAATCTGTCCACGTTTCAAATAAGAAAATAAGAAGCTAAAAAAGTGAAATCAAATGTTCTGTCGTGTTGTGCTGTCGAACACACTGTTCAACAATGAGATTTTAAACGCTGAGAATGTGTTTCATGTCACGACATGTCCCTCACCATTAAGAGTTTGTCCACAGCAGGACTGGATGTTTTCCTTTGGCAGGATGTGTTACTCTGAGAAAACTGTTTACACATCAACAGGATGGCTCTGGTGGAATAGAACTGCTTTAGCTGGTCTGCATTATTGTGGTTTGGCTGCAGTGGTTCATTCAGTTGCCCCCTGTTGGATATGTACGGTACTGATTGGCAGACACTTTTAATTATGTTTGGAAAAGCTCTGCTGGTTAATATCTGGGCTGCCACATTTCCACAGATTAACACTCAAACTTTTTTTTTCTTTACTCGTTCTGCACATTATGGGACATTAACAGGTCATGCTTTTATTCTTTTAGTTATAAATCCATTCTATTCTATTCTACTATGTAACATTCTCATTGCATAGCTTTAATGTTTGGTCTGTCATTGAGTTTTTTTTTAATATAAATATATATATATATATATATATTTAAAACGGATTAAAACATTTTTTTTAGCCTCAGATGGATGAGAAGATCCAGCTTGGCCCAAGAGCTCAAGTCACGTGGGTGAAGGGCAGCAGTGGAGGAGCCAAAGCCAGCGACTCGGGTAAACCACTAAAGCAACTTA